GGGTCTAGGGTTTAGGGTTGGGGGTTGAGGGTGTGTTTTCGAAAGTACCCCAAGATTGGTGGATGAAGCTGAAGGGTAAGATTTTGCGGTCATGGGGATTGCAAGTGAGGCTGAAGGAACTGACACTTTCCTGTAGGGCTGGTGGCCCCCGTGTGGATAGCTGAGTCATTAAAGAACAGATGCTGATACTCATGAATAAAGCAGCTCAGAACTCACAGACACACGACACGAAACCCATAAACGCTTAAACCCCAAAACTCTCAGGCCCTAAACCCTAAATCCAAAAACTCTTCCATCCTAAACCCCAAAACCCCAAACCCTAAACCCCATAATCCGCACACCCCCAAACCCACAGTTCCATAGCCCCCCAAACAAAAGCTCCGGATGCCTTTTGCTCGTCATCCGAATCTCCCAGCAGCGCGCCGAGATCTCCCAAAATGACAGCGGAGTACTTGCTCACGGAGCCTGGCTCACTTAGAGCTTGGGGTTCAGGGGTTTAGGGTTCAGGGCTTAGGGGTTTAAGGTTAGCCCTTGCAATCCTAAAACCCGTTACACTCCTGCAAACCCTGACGCCCTCCTTTAGCATCGTTGTTTTTTGCAGATCTATTAAAGGAACCCGCGAACTTCCCAAAAAAAGCCCTGAATGTTCCCCTTTACAGGAGCCCTTCTAGATAAACCCTTAAAGGACCCCCCCATGAACCGTAAACCCCTAAACCCAAAACCCCAAAACCCTAATAAACCCTAAACCCCTTAACCCCTAAACCCCTAAACCCTAAACCGCTAAACCCTAAACCCTAACCCCCTAAGCCCTAAACCCTTAAGCCCCTGAGCCCTTATTAAAAGCGAAAGTTCCTCAAGGCCTTGCCTCTGTCTGCCACCTCCACCACGCCGCTTCCGTCTGGGAAGGTCAGCGCAATGAAGTCAGAAGACAGGCCCTGAACCTCCGGCTGTTAAAGTTTAGGGTTTTGGGTTTTGGGTGTTTAGGGTTTAGGGTTTAGGGTGTAGGGTTTAGGGTCTGGGGTTTAAGGGTTTAGGGTTTAGGGTTTAGGGTTTAGGGTTTAGGGTCTATAGGGTTTAGGGTGTTTAGGGTTTAGGGTTTAGGGTGAGCCTAAAGAGGTCCTTATTGACCTTTAAGGGTTACTAGAAGGGTTCCTACAGGCTACTATAAGGGTTTTTGTACCCTATAAGGGACCCTTTCATTTAAGGGTTACTACAAGGGTTTGGGGCTTGGGGTTTGCTCAACGGGCAGAATGAAGGGTGTCTACGTTCGGAATCACATTTATGGTTTGGGAAAGTATCCGCATAAACATTACCTAGGAAGGACCTATTTGGGAGTTCTTTGTAGGACCCTTTTGGGAGTTCTTTGTAAAAGGATCTACAGAGGTTCATGCAGGGGTTCATGACTTTCTGTGTTCCAAAGGGGTTCTACATGCTTTTATCCGGGCTCGGGGTCTAGAGATTACGAGTTCGGGGCTGGGGGGCTTCTTTGGGGTTGAAGCTTAAAGGCAATGTATGGTTTTGTTTGGTGCCTTTCCAGAATTACGCGGGTCTAGGGTGAGTCTCCAGTGAAGTCTCCAGTGCGCCCATGCTACTTACGGTTTAGAGCAAGAACATATGACATGTTCAGCAGTCACCTCGCCTCGCGTCGCCTAGACCTGCTGGAAGCGCAGCGGAATTGAGTTCGGAGAAGCATGATCTAACTTCTCTAAACAACCCATATGACACCTTCTAGATCTTGCGCCTTCAACGGTATGAGGTCGTGCGGGTTTTAGGATGTATTCCCGAAACCCTAAACCCTGAACCTGCTCCGTAAGTCACAAACCAATGCAACTTCGACCTCCTTGACAGCTTAAACCCGTCAACCTCCCTCATCAGCTATAGCAACGGACCCTCCTAAACCCCACCTGTAATCGAAGCCCTTATAGAACCCCTCCAAGGAACCCTTAAACGAACCCTGAAAAAAGGAGTCCTCTCAAGAAGTAGAAGTATAATTACTCACTTAGGCCCCCTTGCCTCGGAACCCGAAGTGTGACTACATGACCGGCCGCATCGCCTAAAGCCTTCACGCACCAAATGCACTGCCTATGGCCTCCATGGCGGTTCCTCTTTTTGGGTTTAGCCTCATGCATCTGATTTTTAAGGATCCTACAAGGTAACCCCAACAAAAGGAACTACCATGGAGACTATAGGTAGTAGTAGCCCTGGCGCTCCAAAAACTATAGACGCGCACATTTTCACCACCCAGCCCTGAGCCAGCGGCGCAAGGAAGCTCGCGCACGTCCGGTCGTGGGTGGAAGGAGTGCAATGCGGGAAGGAAGTCATCCACAGGGAAGATGCAATTCTCATACCTCTCGGAAGACAATGGGTACATGTTCTGTGAATGGGTAATTATTGTATACAACACATCCGTATGCATGCAGATCACAAATAATTACACAAAGGCGGCCCCCTAACTTAGGTAAACTGCATGAAGCTGAAGCTCTTTGTCTCAGCACAAGACAACTCCCCAATATATCGCAGGTGTTGGTGCGGAGTAGGCTGAGTTTCGCGCCCGCTGCTTGTCAATCTCTGAAGACCGCGTCGGGACAGGGCATAAGCACCTTGAGAAGACAAGTGCGGTGGATAATCATGGACAAGTAACCCTACACACCACTCAGTCCTGAAGCTGCTCTACAGTAATTGCTGCTGTGTCCGAGTAGATACCATATATGGGTGCCAAGCATTCAGAAACGACTGTTGATGATATAAACCTACATTACCTTAAGGACCCTAAGCCATGGGAAATATGGTATATTCCTTGATAATGGGTAATGCAGGTCTATATATTCAACCGTAGCTAGCTGGAGGCCTGAAATTAAGAGTCCATGATGTGGAGTCGCAGTGTTGAGTTCCAGGGCCCCTGCGACAAATGTCTGCCTTAGGGTTTAGGGTTATAGGGTTACAGGGTTTAGGGTGACTGCTACAAGGGACTAGACCTGGATTTGACCTGACCTACGCCCTCAACCCTGAACGCATGAATCGCGATGACCTGAAGCACAAACCTGGGACGTATCCTGGAACGAAGACCCCGGATCTACAGGAGCCAGAACCTCACCTTGTTTCTCGAGTTTACGGGCTTAGGAAAATTCAGGTTGAGGTGCCTAGTTAGAGCTACATACGATAGGATCTCAGAATAAGAGACACGGCACCGGAAGAATTGCTACGAATCAAGAGCACTGGACCACACACAGAAAAGCACCCAAGCACTATGCGCAACAACTGGATAAGTCATGAGCGGATAGCCCGATGACACTATCTCTCTCTAAGCCAAAAATCGCAAAAGGTAGCTGTGCACATGCATATAAGTATAAAGATGTGTTTCCGCCTCTGTATACACGGTTGTCAGGACAGAAACACATAATATGCTAAGCCCTCACTAAATCGAAAACCTAAACCCTAAAGCCTGGATCCTAAACACAGAATTTACCAAACCCTGAAGTTTCCTGAAGCCTAAAATGAAAACGGTTTAGTGTTTAGGGCTTTTCGGGCTTATAGGGCTTTAGGGGTTGAGGGATTGGGGGTTTCGGGCTTGGGGTTTATTCTAGGGGTTTAGGGGTTTAGGGTTCGGGGGCCTAGGGCTTAGAGCTTAGAGGGGTTCAGGGGTTTAGGGGGAGAAAGCCTTTGTGTCTGAACATCACAATGCAACTCGAAAACTTGAGCACGGACTCAGCTCTGGAAACTGTCCGGCCTAAGACTCCCTTAGATTCTTAACTTAATGTAGGAGCCTGGATAATTCGAATAGGATTTCGGGGCATGTTGTTGTTAGCAGTCTTCAGGGGCCCTACGGAAGAATAGTGGTAACGATTCAGGCTTCTAGATTGTATGATCTACACCCTTCTTAACGACATCAAACCCTTGCTGCAATGCCCAAAACCTACCACCCCGACACCCGCAGACTCACACCCTGCAGGCAAACCCCAAACCAACAGACCCCAAACCCAACAAAGCCCCAAGCAGCAACTTGAATCCTACAAGAACCCCGAACCCCTAAACCCTATACACTCTAAACCTACTTGAATCCTACAAGGACCCCCAATCCGCAAAAGACAAACCAACACCACCCAGAACAACCCTAAAACGCACAGCATGATTGAACCCTAAAGATGCGGCCGTGTAAAGCTAAAGTCCAAACCCTACACTAAGCCCCGCAATAGTACCCTTAGAGAACCCTCAAAACCCTGCGTGCTGGCCTGCCCACTTCCGATGCCCTGCAAAGAGGAGGTTGCATCCTTCAAGCTTTGGCTCCTCCATAGTACGGCTCGTTTGCAGAAGTTCCCGGGAGGGGAGGGGGGGGTGGGGTGGGCTGTTAAGGAGTTTAGCAGCAGGGCGGCTACGAGATTAGGGTTTGAAGGTTTTCAGGGTTTAGGGATCGTTCTGGGGGTTTGAGGGTTACGGTTTAGGATTCCGGGGTAGTATCCCTTAACCCGAACCCATCAGTCTGAAGGCTTTGGCGATGCAGAGGCTTTATAGAGAATCCCAAAAAGTTGGAAATCGGATAAAGCACCAATAGTGCTGGGATTCCCTCAACATGACTCTGAAGGATTTAGGCTATTGAGTTTCCAACTTTGGGCTTCCACTGTGCCGGCGTTCCGGGGGATCCAGCTCTGGGATGTATCGGTCCATCGATCTGTGCACCTACATCGATCTATATCGATGCGATATTTCCTTGTATGTATGTAGGTAGGTCGGTAGGTAGGTAGGTAGGTAGGTAGGTAGGTAGGTATGTATGTATGCATATCTTTACATGTTACATACAACTTACATTTCCAACATATATACTGTATATATATATGTATGTATATAGAGATATAGATCTAAAACGATGTGTCGATCTGTCGGAATCTATCGGGCCAACATGTTGACCCATCGACCTCTCGATCAAGCTATTAATCTGTCGACCTATCTGTCGAGAAATCTGTCGGTCGGTGGGTCTGTCTGTCTGGTTTAGTCTAGTCTATCTACCTACCTACCTACCTACCTACCTACCTATCCATGTCTATACCCACCTACTTACCTACCTATCTACCTTGCTACTTACCTCCCGATCTACCTAGCTCCCTATCTACGTAGCTGCCGAACTACCTACCTATCTACCTAGCTACCTATCTCTGCCTATCTCTGTGCCTACCTAATTATCTATCTACCTATCTAGCTACCTACTTACATGTATGATAACGGAATATAAACAAATGAATGTACATATCTTACTTACCGTCGTATGTGTATGCCTGTGTGTATACATATGTATGCACATGCATGCATACATACATACATGCACACTCACATGTATACATACATGCCTACATGCACATTTACGATGCTTACCGACTTGCTTACCTTCTTACTGACGTAGCTCAGCTGGTAACATACATACATGCATGCATACATACATACATACATGCATACATACATGTGAGTCGACACTCTCGGGTCTACGTTGTCCTCTTGAACACGACTTGCACGTCTACCAACACATACTTGTGCAAGACACTTGCATGCCGAAAAGGCTGCGAACACCGATGAAGGAGTGCATTCCTGACATGTCAACACCACTTATGGATCACTTATGATGTCTCGGGTCTGGATTATGTACATAGCTATTGCTGAACTCTAACACTATGTGCATATGTGTGTGTATACATATACACAATTATGTCTGTCTGTGTGTCTGTCTGTCTGTCTGTCCGTCCGTCCGTCTGTCTGTCTGTCTGTATGTATGTATGTACGTATGTATATGTATATATACTGTTATATATATATATATGTAAACTCAAACGAGATCTTTGTGCTGTTTGCTCTCGCTCTCTCTCTCTCTCTCTCTTTCTTCTCTGCCTCTCTCTGGCTACGACTGCGGCCACCAGCTGCGAGTCCTCTCCCTTGGAGTAGAGCGAAGAATGCAAGTAGACCAGATCCTTACCGCTAGGATCCTACAACTTCCCGTCAATGTGGGCTATGAAGACAGGGACGTTGTGTTGGAATCACTACCATAAGCTTTCTTGCTTTGCCTGCGAGCCTTCTAACCACAGCCACGATGAACGTGCTTGAACGAACACTTGACACAGAACAAATCTTCCTCATTGCAGGTAATCTAAGCGCAACTCTGGAGTCTTGTCTCAGGGTGTTGTTTCGTCTCTGATCGCATTGCTTGGTTGGGGACTGAGTTCGGGTTTCTGTTTCGTGATCGGTGATTTGGACTTTGCTGCTTGTGTGCCTGCTCCTAAGCACCCGACAGCGCGACCACATACCCAAGAATCCGGACACGCTAAGCCGTTCAAGTTATATCTGAACCCAAACCCACACCCTAAGCTGAACACTAAACTCTGATCAAGCCCACCCGAAAAAGCCTTTACCCCGAAACAAGCTGCCAAATAGTGTTGTCTTGCATTCTGACATAAGGTCCTTCATTGCGGTGGGTTGGACTGCAGTGGGGTTTATCTTAACCCCACAATCCAGCAGCCAGCAGGCTATGAATCAAGTCTGCAACAACCAAAGCTCCTGTTCAAATACAACGCGTCAATGCCAACAATCACATTTATGTAGGGGCCTTAATAATGAAAAAATGTAACTATAATCAGGAGCCTCAGGGAATCATGTTGGTAAGTACCGGCTTCTATATGACTGCTGTCTGAGTCTCCCAGGACACGCCCAAGCTTGTCAGGCAGTCGACCTGGGACAAGCTGAAGTTCAATCATCACTCTTGGACCTATATAGAAATCCCTTTGAGGCCTAAGTATATCTACCATGCAGATACAAAAGGACCCTTATAAATCCCACAGCCTGTTTTTGGAACCTTTATCAGAGCCCTCCTAGGGAGGTTTTGGGGCGTCTCAGGTTTCACGGGATCCTTGTGCAGTAGGGCCCAACCTGCTCACCCAGGTTGGTCAAAGCCCGATGCCCCTATATCAATACCCCATGTGTCAACAGGGCATTCCTGGACCCTAAAGAACCTACCTTTTCAGGCTTCCTTCTTCTGCCTTTTTCATATTAGTCCCCAAAAAACAAGGTAGTCGATTTAGGGTTAAAGTTGACTCTAAGCTTCAAGCCTCAAGCATTATGCTGAAGGGCCGATGCCCGAAAACTAAAACAACAAAAACGAATTGCGATCTTTTCTGGTCTGGAGAGCTCTCGGATGAAGGTAGGTAGGATTTAGGATTCCTTACAGAAATGCTGATGATAGAAATCCTGCATTACCTTAAGGACCCCAAACTATGGGAATTATGGTATATTCTTTATAGTGGGTAATGCAGGATTTGTATCATCAACCGAAGGAGGGTTATTCGGGACTTTCCCACCTATCTTCATCCCACCTTTTGAGGCCTCAGAGGCACGTGCCATCAACCCCGAAACGTATGCCCAAGCCAAACCCTCTACAACCCAACACCAGACTCACCCAACACCTCTCTCTTGCGGCACCAAATCAAAGGCTCATGGGATTCAATTGGTCAATAAGGTTGTCAGTACGCCTGTCATTCGGATAACATTACTTACGGGCACTTATATAAATAAATATGTGTATATATATACACACAGACATATACATACATACATACATATATATATATATAACCCCAATTACAACCCCTGGAGCCCTTGAGTAGCTGCAAGTATAGAAGCGCCCCACCTCTTCTTGGAAACGCCTGAGCCCTTCTTCGGTCGGCCTAGGGAAGCTCTCACAAGGCTCGAGGTCTTTAGGGATGGGTGATTTCTTGACCCCCCCATGTAATATTTTGTTGAGAGTTCAGGCTCAGGGATGTACATGTTACTGGGGACCCATCCATGTAACCATACAGTAACTCTATTTTGGTTGCATGTTATTCCCTGAACCCTAAATATAGCATATACTTTTGGTCTAAAGCACGTATGTAGCGACTGCTTGGGCTTAGGCTTTAGGGTTTAGGGTATTGAGGCCCAAGTATACGCAATAGGGGCTCACCTGGACAATTCGGGGTTGCTGCCGGCCAAGCGAGATTCTGTTGAGGTGGGTTGAGGATTGGGTTTATAGGGGTGTAGGGGTTTAGGGTTTAGGGGTTTAGGGGTTCAGGGGTTTAGGGGTTGAGGGTTAAGGGTTAAGGGTTTAGGAGTTTAGGGTTTAGGCTTGAGGATGGGCATGAACAGCACGGGAGCTTGGTAGGTGAGCGCCTTCAGCAATGCCTTGACCTCCCACTGGATACATCCAGGGCAGCAAGCATCAAGCTCCCTGTTCGACACACAAAAATGATTAGGGTTAGAGATGGGATTTAGGGTATAGGGTTTGGGGTAGACAGGATTGGCGGCATCGGAATCTTCCGATCAACCCAGAGCCCTGCATCATCATCCGTGATACCCAACCGAGCAGAACCAACATGCAAACCGGCCAAAGTCACCTCGGTGACAGCTTCAAGAATAATCATAACTTGTGGGACGTGGTAGATCGTCCAGCTAGGGGCTTCACTGTTTCTCGAATGGTCCATGTACTGTGCCCAAACAGTACATACTTTGGCCCCAAAGTATCTCTAGGGAGGGAGTACATACTATTTGGGTACCTAGACCCTTAGGGTTACCGGCGGATACCGCTACTCAATTGTTTAACATCATATAAACCACAAGAGTCAAGCGTCGCTCCAAACCGCAGTCTCTAAGTCTCTCCGTATAGTGAACTCTTGCGAGAGCGGGGTACCTTGAAGCGAGAAACAACGCCATGAAGCTACTGCAACACACAAAAAATCCCAAATCTAGCGCGTGGTGATTGAGCTTCGAAGATTGAGACTTAAACTTAAACGGTTGTGCGCTATGCAAATTGAGCTGCAGCCGCAGGCCCTAAGAAGTCCAGGCCTAGCGATATCTACCGTGAAGACACCGAGCTGCCTCGCATCATCCTCGAAAACGATGCAAACCTCACGTCTGCAAGTGTTTAGATTACAGGGTTTAGAGCTTTAGTTGTCTTATAAGGATTCGAAAAGGGTTTAGGGTTACCACATATCTTACCGTGTATGTTTGCATGTATGTGGCACGCACACGACGGTCCTCCGACTTAGGAAGCTCGGGTTCTCCTTCAGATGCTTGGGATGTGCTCGGGAGACTTCAACAGCGCTTTGATAAGATAAAAAGAGCCGGGCTCCTGCATCAATTCCTGATGGGGTCTTGGATGGTTTTGGAGTCTCTGGGTCACTGCCTTTGAACGCCTTGCCGAGGCACGTCGAGGTCACATCGCATGGCATTCTGCCAGAGCCGGAAGTGGCTCAAACAGGCAGCGGCCTCGCCATACATTCTTCGGCGGCAGAGTGCTTGCGGGCTCTACTAGGGACAGGGCTGACTTGGGTTGAAAAGATCTGACGGAGACAAAGAAGGCCTGAACAAGGTATCTTAGGCTTGCCTACGGGATGCTACAGCTTGCCGCGGTCGTGGCGGAAATCGGCGGCAACGTAACAAGGCTCCTACTTACGTAGCACCGTGGAAAAAGCAGGGCTTGGGGCTCCTTGCACTCTGATCTGCATCGGGTTTAGGGTTCAGTGCTTCTCTGCACAGGATTTGGGACTTCGTTTCCATGTCCACAGCACCAGCCTCGCCCAGCTTCAGGTGACGGTTGTAGAAGTCGATGTAGTTGCTCGCCTCGCACGACAAAACATGAGGGTCCCATAGGCTTCTGGGGGGCACTTGGTGCATGGTTTGGGGTGTTGTCTGTCTGCCTTCGTGTAGATTTGGTCCTACACCAATGAAGCTTGCGCGTTTCTTACCCCCCAATCCCCGAAACGCCTATGAATCCGTGAAGGCAACTACTACCTACCCATAGGCCCCTAAGTAGTTCCTTTTTATGGTTTATATTTAGAATTCTATAAGGTAATCCCAAAAAGGAACTACTTAGGGGCCTGTGGGTAGTACTTTCTTTTCGGCCAAGAAGCTCGATCTGAGATCCAACATCCTGAGACGAGTCGCACGGTGTTTTAGAGCTGGGAAGCTGTAAACTTTATCAAGAAAGCCCCTTAGACCATCCTGCAGAAGCAAGTGAGGCCCTTCTGAAGGCTCCACAGATCTGGACTACGTCGGGCTTAGACCCAGAATGAACAGGACATAGATCTAATGTGCCCAGGGGTTCAGCCTATGGCAGACGGACTTCATAAGGAACACCCAGGCCTTTACGTCGGGTTTCAGGTTGAAGGTGTTTCTGAGGAATGAGCTGATCGCCCTCCAGGGACACAGGATTGTTGATAGCGAGGCACGCTCGGGAATCACAAGTAAAAGGAGGCAATGGTCACCTTCAGTCGATGGGCTTTGAAAAGCACCACACAACCNNCCCCCCCCCCCCCCCTCCCACCCCCATCGCATACTCTAGACCGGGTTAAGATTAAGGGTCTAAAGCTAAGTTTCGGGTTTGGGACTTAGGGCGCCCCTTTGTCATCGGCCACTTCCTGCGAAGTAAGACAGCCCTAGACCCTAAACCCTGACAGAGTGCAAGGCAGAGCAACAGCCGCCAGTCTCGGATCCCGAACAGTTTAGGGTTTAGGGGCTTAGGGTTTCTATTCAACTCTAGCACTCCCAGACTCCTGAAAGCCCTAAGCCCCAACCCTTAACATCCCTAAACCCTTCAGCCTAAATAGCCTACGAGCCCTAAACCCGGAACCTCCGAACCACATCCTCAGGCCAGGTCCGCCGATTGGGGGGGTGGGGGATCCTTTCGGGTGCAAGCGTCAACGCAAGCCTGCTCTAAATCGGGATCACTTTGAAGGGGAATCCTTTCCACAGCAAGCTAAACCCTAAACCGCAAACCCCTGCCCCAAACCCCTACACCCTAAACTGTAAACCCCTACACCAAACCCATACACCCTAACCCAAAACCCCTACACCCTAAACCTTCCTCTCCAGACCCTGATGTCTCAAGTTCGGAATGATCATAGTTGGCCTTGATCAACCAGCACGCAGAACTTTCAACAACCCAACACAGGGTTTAGGGTTTAGGGTTTGAGGTTCAGGGTTTAGGGCCCCATGACGAAGCTTTACGACCAAAAGAACAAGCGCAACCCGCCGTGAAGAGAAGATCCCCGCTAGAGAACCGAAGACAGCGCACTAAACGCCGCCCTCCCGGGCCAAGCGTCGGTGCCAGGAAATGTAGGCTTCCCAGGCCTGCTTCAAGGCCCAAGGGACTTAGTAGGTCGGGTCATCAGTAATTAATAGGTTCAAAGTGGCTTTGGATAAAGCTTGGGAGCGGTTGGTTGATTTTTGTTTTTGCCATTTGTTCGAAGGCCGGAGGGCTTCGGGTTTTGGGGCCTAATTACCACCCTAAGGGTCCGAAAACAACGAAACCGTTGTGCTTTATAAGGGTCCCGTATGGTGCGCATGGAAGTTTTTGAGAGAATGGATTGGGTACTTTGGTTGGAAATTAACTACGGCTGATGATATAAATCCTACATCATGACCCATAATAAGGAATATACCATGGTTACCATAGTTCAGGGTCCTTAAGGTCATGCAGGATTTATATCATCGACAGTAGTAAAGGTTGTAGGTTCGACTTCAGGGCCCCGCACCCCCCACCGATGGGATCTTGGCGTTCTTCTGGTTGGCTCTTAGGACTTGAACTTTTTGGGTTTCTATATTAATAATATGAACTATAAACTTCTTGGGTTTCTATATTAATAATATGAACTATGATAAGTAGGCTAAAAATTTGACATGTAGGAGGGGTTCAGGAGTCCGCCAAGTGATGTGGTGGTATGGAGCTTCGAGTTTGTGGCCTGAGGGGCATCTGGGGGGAGGGGTGGGGTGTAGGAAGTGCAGGCTTCCGCATCGAGCTGGGGAGCTTCTACGAATTTCTAGAAATTTCTGTTTGACGCCCAGGTGTTTTTGTTGGCTTGAGATTCGTGGGAATAGGGTTGAGGGTTCATGATTCCTTGTTGAGAGGCCTTGAATGTACGACTAGTACCCCTTTATGTCTTGAGGTTTGTTGGCCCGCTTAGGCCTGAATTAGGCTTTGCAGCATGCGGCTTTCTTTTAATGGTAAGTGTTTGTGTCGCGGCTGCGAGGTTCGTGACCTAGTTGCCGGGAGGTGAAGGGCAAGCCGGGCAAGCAACTAAAACACGAACAAACACACAAACAAAGCAGCAGAAGGGACAGTAACACCAACCTTGACAACGATTACCCAAACAAGCGGCGACAAGTGCAGCAGCAACCTGAGCAGGCTCATAATCTAAACAGTAGTAGCCCATCTAACATTACACACTCCCGTCCCCAAAAAAAAAGCGAAAATCGTCGTTGGCCCTAAACCCTATATCCTAAACCCTACACCCTAAACCCTTCTGTTTGGTTTCCTGGATCTTCCAGGGCTAAAAGGTCTTAAATGATGCATTCCTCAAGGGCTTCGACACGCAACCCTAAGCCGTTCAGGGCTTATCGGGTTTAGGGTTTATAGGGGTTTTGGGGGGGTTTCTAAACCGTTCAGGGCTTATCGGGTTTCGGGTTTATGGGGGTTTTGGGGGCGTTTTGGGTGTTCAGGGCTTAGCAGGCCACATACTATTCCTGCGGGCTCTGCAGTCTGCGGTCCGGGGATGTTTAGAAGAATACCCTGCTTTACGCCGGCCTTCCAGTCTGGCAAGGATGCCAAATCGGGCCGCATGCGCACAACCTGCGCTGCCATGCTGGGCACGGAAACCGTCCGAATCTCAGGCATGGGCCACAACACCTCTTTTCGTGAAGTGGTCTATGCCAGGAGTCCAAACAGATGAAAGATGCCTCAAAATGCCGCATGAGGCTATTTTCTTCGCCGTGGTCCTCGTGGATCTTAAACCCCAACCCGAACCCTAAACCCATCTAAACCCTGTAGACCCGAAATACTGCCACCCCAAACCCTGAATCCCAAGCCCTAAACCCCTGAACCCTAAACCCACAGACCCCAAATACCGTCAGCAATGCATGCCGAAGCAGCATCCTCCACTTCACAGATGGGCCAACCCTGAGCTAGGAGCTGAGGGTTCAGGGTTAGGGCTTAGGGCTTAATGTTTGGGGTTCAGGGTTTAGGGTATAGGCTTTAAGGGTGGAGCCATGAATGAAACCCTGGTTCATTCTCCGATGCAGCTCTGAAGAAAGGCTTCGGAAGCAAGGCAGAGAGAACCGCGGCAACATTACTGAACCCACACGCAACTCGTATTTATGCCTAGAGGTTTGACGACGCCTCTCAGAGGCACTGCGCAATAGGGCCAAAAATCACTTGCTTCGGCCCATATATTGACTCAGTCTGTCTTTTGTACTATCCGGGTTGCAGTTCTACCCTATAAGCCCTAAACACTGAGCCCCAAGCCCTAAACCGGGGGGTTGGAACTCTGAGCTGATGAGAACAAACACCCAGGCCTCTAGCCGGAAGACCCAGCACATGGCTTGCGATAGTTTCGGGCTTAGGGCTTTTGCGGTTTGGGGTCTTTAGGGCTTTTAGGGTTTAGAGTTCGGGGTTTGGGGCTTTAGCTTTCAGGGTTTCGGGTTTAGGGCTTTAGGGTTTCGGGTTCAAGGTTTGGGTCCGAACACACAGACGAAGGCAATGCACGAAGCCGCACACAAGCAGGCAAATAGGGGTGTCCATATCGATTTTGCAGGAGGTGAGGCTTGCTTTCTGGCTCTGTACCCATAGGCCCCTAAGTTAAGTAGTTCCTTTATATAGCTTAGAGTAGAAGCCTATAAGGTAATCCCAAAAAGGAACTACTTAGGGCCTATGGGTATGAACCCCCTTGCAATCCTACGCCCCACCAAAACCCGAAGCCCCACAAGACTGAAACTAAGCTACGGCCCATAAGCTCTGACATGCAAGTCGCTAAAGCCTGCAACCGAAACTGAAGGGCAAGCCTCAAGACGAAACATCACGAAACTAAACCCAAAAGAACCTATTTGGACCCCCTTTGGGCCCTCTTTTCGATCTCTACATAATGGGTTTAGGGTTTAGGGAATCAATCCCAACACCCTGAAAGATAATTCCTTCTCAAGACGCTTGACCTTAACTACCCTCCCAGAACCTTTCGATTCCTGTTAGGGAACCGAACAAAAAAAACAACTGCAACGTTTAGGGTTTAGGGCGAGTCTGTGCTAGCACTAAACCAGCAGCCTATGACCAACAGATCCCAGCAGCCTATGACCAACAGATCTACGCCCACGCCTAAGTTCACGAATTCCCAAACACGTGCACTTCCATGGACTTCCTAAAAGGCACCTCCCAACTCTTCAAGGTCTTTGAACTC